CTGTAGTCGTGTGGATTACTTGTGGATTATTGTGATGTTTTTATCAGCTGTTTGAACTCTCATTCTGACGGCACCCATTCACTGCAGAGGGTCCATTGGTGAGCAAGTGATATAATGTTAAATTTCTCTAAATTTAACATTACAAGCAAATGATTAAGATAGAAACTCATTTACATTTTGTATGGCCGGAGGGTGAGTATTTTTTATTTATTTACTTATTTAAGCAATTTTTTTCATTTTTTGGTGGACTATTCCTGTAAAGTGTAAAGTTAAGTGTATATTTTTGGTCACCATTTATTTGAACTTTTTCTTCCTTTTTCCTGTTGGCATGTTAAATTTCTCTAAATTTAACATTACAAGCAAATGATTAAGATAGAAACTCATTTACATTTTGTATGGCTGGAGGGTGAGTATTTTTTATTTATTTACTTATTTAAGCAATTTTTTCATTTTTTGGTGGACTATTCCTGTAAAGTGTAAAGTTAAGTGTATATTTTTGGTCACCATTTATTTGAACTTTTTCTTCCTTTTTCCTGTCGGAGTCAAATGCATTTTAAAAATGCCAAATATTTTATGTAGTCTCTCAATTAATATGAGATCATAAAAACTGCATGCAGAATAATCATACACGAATTAGAAAAATGTGTGTAGCATGTCACTCTGTGGTTGTCTCTGCATGTTATGTTTGCTACAAAAGAACAAAGTGCAATAATGTATTGCATCTTCCAGTCTGCTTCCCATGATGCTTCAGTGACAGATAGAGTAAGTATCTTTGGTTGTGCAGGCACAAGGATACTGTAGCTCCTCTCGTTTTTCACTGATCTGGCACTTTGGATAGGAACACGACTTGCAGTGCTGATTTTAGATTGAACTATTGACTTCTGAAGGCGGTTATATCAATGTCAAATAGACAAAGGAGTTTTGCAAGCTGTCTCTCTCACACACATACACACTATTCCTCTTATACATTTTCAGATGGACTTGTATGACAAACAAGCAAACAAACAAAAAACTGCAGCGTATATAACATGTTTACATATTTTGCAATAATGTAATATGCACAGAATGTCATGTTCCTAAAACATCATAGATGAGAATTGTGTACATTTGGAACATACTGTATTATGTGAGGAAAACGCTCTTTTAATGAAATCAGGGTAAGCTAGAACGGAGGGAAACTTTAGTTATTGCTGCCCTCTGGCGAACATTTTGAAACACTGCAAATGTGCAATTAATATGGCATAAAATCGATTTTGATTAATTATTAGAATTGAATGGAAAGCCATGTCATTTATTTATTTATTTATTTGCATAAGTAATAACCTCAAACTCTGTACTCTTATTTGCTTGTGCTTGTCGAAGAAAGGCTTGATGAAACTTGTGGGAAAACTCGAATCAAATTCGCAAACACTGAATCAAATCATCTTATGTATATGAATCGGTTAAATGAATCAAATGCTACTTATGTATAAAACACACTACGTTTAACTTGAGAGGAGCAATCTATAAATAATCATTACATAGTGAATTTAGTCAAGTCCGAAGTTTGTCATAGGCTATTTACAGTAGTAATCTAAATGAGGAAGCTATTGAAATTTTATAAACCCTAGATGGCAGTACACTGCAAAACTAAAAATTTTTTCAAGGTTGAAAATAAAACAAAGATTATTGAAGTTCTACAATAAATACTATTTCAGATTTTCTACTTCAAAATGCCATGTATTATTCAATGTGGTATAAGTCTATAACTTTATTATAAAAGTTTTGTCTCCTGGTAAATTTAATAATGATGTATAATCAAATCTGCTAAATAAAACTGCATTTCCTTTGCTGCATTGCCCCCATGGAATGCTGATTTATCATCTTTATAAATGTTAAATATTGTTGGATGAACATGTAGTATGCCATCACAGTGTGGCATTAATTATTGGAAAAATCACCATTAAAAGACAAGCATTGACTATTTAATAGCAGCACAACTGGGTGAGAGGAGGCATGTGATAAGAAGTGTGGTTATTGTAGAACAAATCCATTAAATGTCAACTAGACTACTGATGCAACAGAGACAAAATACACAGACTGTTTTAAAGCTGATGTTTTATCATCGATAGAATCTGTAGAAAGACAAGTGTAGTCTTTTCCTCTGACCTCCAATTTCATGCTTTGCTTGGGGCTGCTGAAGATTTAAGACAGGAAATTAAAACTTCAGACAGAACTGAGTAAGAACAGTGGCTTGCAGAAGGTAAAAGTGCTGGAAGGAGGAGTCGGAGGAAAATAAAGCGCAGGGAAACTAGTGTGGGAGTTGGTGTGGAAGGCCAAAGCCCAGCTCCAATAACTCAAAGTTCATATCCTAAAATATTTTCATTCTTGTTGTAAAAGTGGGATAAAGGTTTATTTGAAAGTTAAAGTGTGTGTTTGTGTGAGCAGTTATTGATCTGGGTGGTTGGCACTTTACTGTTATGGGAGGAAGTGTTTATTTAAAGTGACATTATGTTTGGAGTATTTGCGCACTCAAACATGCAGCGGGGGATATTTTTGTCATATGTTTGCTTATGTTGTGGAGTATTAGAATAATAGTTTAGTGTCGAATTTTACACATTTTGGACTTTGTCTCTAATTATTATCATCTGTCTCATCATTTTGTGCTTGTAATGTCATAGGACATTGAGGAAAAAGATATTTCAAGTTTCCCTCATCTTTTGACCAACGAATTCTTATCCTATATAGATTGCACTCGCAAAATTATATTCTATTATTAAATAGCATTATTATACATTAGTCAACATCTGAAGTGGATCAAAACCTTTTAACAAAGTTGTCCTAAAACCTAAAACCAAAATGCGGTCTTGTCTTAGGACAACTTTGATGAACATTTTTGATCCACTTCAGATGTTGACTACTCTAATTTAATATTTAAACGTTGAATATAAGAAGAAAGGTATGTTTACTATAAAAATGCCATATAAAGATAATAATCGCATGTTTCCCATGCTGGCTAATCTGTATTTCCTGGATATTTCCATTTTTCCACGATTGTAGGAAGCCTGGTACGTGTTTATGTGATTGTGGGATGGTCAGACCCTCTCACAAAAGGTGGTAGTTTTCATTTAAATCATGAAAATCAGTGTTGTAAATGAAAACCAGGGTAGTAAATATATTTTTCAACACCTGGTTGCTGTCAATGCAAAAGGTCATGCAATCTGTGCACTTTTCTGTCCAACCAGGGGGAAAAAATGTATATGTTTAGATTTTCCTATTGTCTGTTTATGAGCCTGATTTAAATAAATCAGCTTATGATTGTAATTATGATTGTTAACATGAAAGTGGGATTTGCTGTGTGAAATCTGCCTCAGTAAAAACAGATAAAACCCTAAAGCACGATCACGGAGGACACTAGACACAGCTCTGACAAGGAGACCAAACTGCACTCAAAGGTTATGTGTTCTGTAAGCAGAACAAATAAAGCTTTATTTGCATAGTGGGGCCACTAACCAGTCACACACACACACATACGCATGCACAAGCACATATTGTTTTTATCAGCGTAGAATCCTCAGGCAAGCCTCACAATGGAGCTTCAAAAAGAAAAAGAGAAAGTAAACACTGTCCAGAACAACCACTTTAAAAGTTAGTGAAGCCACACTGTTTGTCATGTACTGTCATGTAATTATTCTGATGAAAAACATACACTACCAGTAAACCGTTGGGACACACCTACTCATTCTTTATTTTTTACTATTTTTAACCTTAGAATATAAACAACACAAATGGAAGTTTATGGAACTTTATGTTGTGAGCTGAACACTGTTAAACAAATCCAACATACTTATATTTTAGCTTCATAAACATAGCCAACCTTTACCTAGATTGCAGCTCTGCATACACTTGGTTTCTCCAGTCAACTTTTAAACAGTATTAAATGAATATCTATACATGTTGAACACCTGTTGTCTGCTTTTCTTTCACAAGAAAGAATATTATTTCATATTTTATTTAAAATTATACATTTGTGAAGGAATTCATATACAAACAAAATTATATCCTACAATATTTTATTTAAATGTATTCATTTATTTATGAGAACCATGAAGTCAGTCAAGTGTGTCCAAACCTGTGGCTGGTAGTGTGTGTTTACACAACATAGAGCAATTAAACATCTTTACTGTCAGCAGGGGGAATGTGTGAAACATCCCATATGTATGATATTCCCTCACCTGTTTTAGCACAAACACATACAGTAGAAAATGTAGAAGCTTAGAAGCTACATTAGTGATGAGCTTACATACATGCATATAAACATAGCTTTTTGTAAATTGCAGGACATCTTTTTTCAAAATTTCTAACAAGATTTTGTCAAGCCATCTTACATTTTTTCTTGTTAAAAATCAGTCATACAAATATAACATATTTTCCTTGAATTTTCATTTTTTTATTTTAATTCTACTTTTCTAAATCTAGATGTAAATCAGTTCAATTCAATCTTGCAAGTGTACAACCCCTTGTTTTTCATATTGGGGACTTTCCATTAAATGTTATACTTTTTACGCTAAACTAACACCTTATGTCTAACGATATCCCTACCCCCACATCGAAACCTTTTCTTTCATTTCTACGTTTTCATTTCTATTTAGCATGTTTATTAAGCCTGCCCTCGTGGTATTTGGGCTGGTCACCACAACGTCAAAAATGTACCTGGTTTACTGTCTACGTGGAGAGAGACATTTGCTCCCCACAATGTAGGCAACACCAAAGATCACAAAAACACCACAACCTCCCCCACACACACATGTCTGGTCAGCTATCCTTCTGGGGACTCTCCATAGGCGTAATGGTTTTTATACTGTACAGACCCTATATTCTATTGCCCTACACCAACCCTACCCCTAAACCTAGCCCTCATAGGAAACTTTCTGCATTTTTAGATTTTCAAAAAACTTAATTCTGTATGATTTATAAGCTTTTGTACCCGTGGGGACCACAATTTAGTGAGTCGCCACGGGTCCCCATGAGTTTGTGTAGTCAGGTTTAAGTCCCCACCAGGATATATAAACCAGCACACACACACACACACACACACACACACACACACAGACAGAGGCTGCACCTCTAGGGGGACTCCAGACTTCAGTGGATAGTAGCGGCGCGTGAAGAAACATGAAGACGAACGTGACTGTATCAGCAGCGTGCGCGAGAATGTAACATCGCCCAGTCAGTCACTCGCGGTTAAACACGCTCTCGGTCAAGCGACAGATCCACTCCGTGATTTCGCGATTGAAGCACGTTGCGCTGCTGATTCATGGGGGCTTTCGGTGAGTGCTGCTTGCCCTACGGTTGTGCTTTCGCTTACTCTTGAAATGTGTGCTGGTTTTGCAGTGTGTTGTGGGGCTTGTTAGCAGCGGCAGCGGCGTAAGAACCTCGGGCAACATGTTATAGTTGCAGCAGTCGTTGATGAAAGCGAATTAACAGCAGAGCAAGGATATGTAGCTGCGTTGGTCTCTTCGCGATCAGGTATGTTGAGCTTGCAGGAACCTTACTGCAGGGACTCTATAATGCACTGCACTAGAAACCAGACACATTCTCTACATTTCGGAGTTTGTTTATGGTGATTACTTGTTTAGCAACTGTGGCAGCATTTAAATGTAGTGTGACTAAATCATGCCATTGGACTGGATAGGTCATGAGATTGTCTAGTCTTTCAGTGTTACGCTTGTAGACTCTCAAGGCATTGCTTTTGAGGTATAGACACATTCTAAGTGGGATACACTGACTTATTTTATGATATCTCTCTGTTTTTGTATGAATTGTTTTGTGTGAGGTGTTAAAGTAAAGGCCTTTTCTTCTGTCAGACATTACTGTTTATAGTTTTACTGCAGCAAGTTAAACGTTTCATCATCCCTTACTTTTTTCTCATGTCAGTACTGAATGAATGGTTGAATCTTCCTGCCAAGTTAAATTAGTGCTTGCAATCGAACGTGAAGCCACAATGTCTCTAGAGTGGGATCCATGAAGGAAAAACCAGCCTGTGTTTCCCACAGACCAGCATAACTTTATTTAGATAGCTGTGTTTGATTTTGATCAATAATACACATTTTGCCTTTCCAGCTTACGCATTAAAGGGGAGTTGAATTTTGAAATGTATTTTTGACATGTAGATGGTTTTTATTCCACATTATAAATTTTTTTTCTGCAAGACTGTAGGCTAAAATATGTTTTAGAGAAAGTGTTTATCTTGGAACTGTCAACATTTCTATTAGGTTTTTCAGAACTAACACATTTTTGACTAGTTCATTTTAATGAATTAGAAAGACAATGTATAAAGTGTGTGTGTATATATATATATATATATATATATGTATATATATATGTATATATATATATGTATGTGCGTAATGGGGAAAAAAACTAATTATTTTTAGATTAATTGCATGCTAAAACTTTTTTGATGGATGTAATTGTGGTTAAAATCTGTATTTCAAAGTTACATTTGAGTTGGTTACATCTCATTTAATTTCCAGACAGTCCTTTAAAAAAATCATTTGAAGTCACTAATGCCGCTGACATGAGGTAAAGTGGTGACTCATCTGAGCAAATTTGGGGAAGCATGGACAATTTAATCTGAATTACAGAGCGTTGACTTATGATGACAAAGTCCTTTGTTGTCAGACAGCAAGCTAGAAACTGGCCTGTGTTTATATTTTGGGAAAACGTTCCTGTCTTAAAACACACCGTTTATGTGGTTAGCTTTGAAAGTCAAATCCCAGGCATTTGGAAAGTCGGATTAACCTAAGTCTTTTCAAACGTTTGTATTTGTGATGCTATTTTTCTTCCTTGTGCATTCGTAGGTTTACTGTGAGATTGATTGGATGCTTTCAGCATCAGTCAATTCTAGCTATAGAGTCTTTCCTCCTTATTTTATTTTCAGCTCTTTCAATTTGCTCTCATGTGAACTAACATTTCTGAGAGAGCAGAATAGCTGGTTAATTACAGCTTTATTAACCTATTGAGGCATAAACATGAATAAACACATATTAATGTCAGCAGCGAATTCAGCAAAAGCTATTAGCAGTAATCACAGTCACGGATAATCTCAGAGAGGTTTGTGTCTTGTTCCTTTTTCATTTTCATGCTTCACTCATGCTGCATGTGCTCTATTTGTATTGTACCAGCAGACTCAGGTGGCTGAGAGATGCAGAGATCTTGGCACTATACGAGGATTTTCTGTTGACCCTGTGCTTAAGTGGGTGTCGTGGAACTTGACAAACCCTGTGCTCAGAAAAATGCTGATAATATTAGCTCTCTACACTAAAGTAAATGCAGTGCCTTGCTAAAAAGAGCAGTGCCACCACACAAAGGGGAAACCACACAGGTAAGTTGACCTCGCTAAACAACTTGGCAGCTTTCACTGTGTAAATATGCTACCAGTTAAAAGTTTAAACACAGTTGGTCGACTTTGCTTCTCATGATTCTAAAAACCCTTTTGATCTAAAGTTCATGCTTAAATGCATGGAATTAATTGTGTAGGCAAATATAAATTGCAGTTATCTAGGAATTTAGAAGGAAAAGCATGGGAATTCCTTCAGTATCGTCTAAAAAACTGGATAATAAGTGTGGAATGGCCAACAATTATAGTGTCAGTTATATTTTTAGAAACTCTTATGTTTTTAAGAATGAGCTTCTGAAGTTTTGAAGAAAATATTTTGTATAGTGTGTTTATAGTAAGTTTAATTGTGTATATTTTATTATTTTTGACATGAATATAGACTTTGATGCTGATATGTCAAATAAAATAAATAAATAAAATAATATATGTTCATTGACTTATTTTTAAGCAGGTTTTCTGTTCTTATGGACCTTCTTTTTGCTTTTAGAATGTCTTGGGTCAATGGCTTTAAATCTGCAAGAGTGGACAACCATACGACGGCATGGGGTGAGCGCAATGGCAGGAAGTCAAGGCGTAAAAGGGGCACGTCCCTGTGCAACCCACGCTACATGAGCTGTCTACGGGACCCCGAGTCTATGGAGCCCCCATCGCAACACTACTCCCGTGCAGCAGGGGGCGCCACCAGCAGCAACTTCAGCACACGCTGCGTTTGGCAGGAAGACCATTATGGCAGGAAGGGTGATGTGGGTCTGAGAGCCGTGGACCTGGCGTTTGAAGATTCTGAGACGAGGCAAATGAAAGATGGCGAGGACACCGATGACGGTGGAGAGGAGAGGAAGGGTCCCGACAGGTGTTTGTTGACTTGCTTGTTGCGTCTGGCTCATGTTTTTCAGTCCAAGAAGTTTAAGTCGGCCAAGCTCGAGCGGCTATATCAACGGTACTTCTTCAGGCTCAACCAGAGCTCTCTTACAATGCTCATGGGGGTCCTGGTTGTGGTTTGCGGGGTTATGCTGGCGTTCCACTGCGTCCAAGGTCCACCAGATGTGGCGTTTGCCTCAGTGCTCTCCGTAGCCATGGGCCTGTTCTTAGCCTTGATGGTGGTGTGTAACAGAAACGGCTTCCACCAGGACTACATGTGGATTGTGAGCTATTTGGTCATGGCGGTGTTAGTGGTGGTGCAGGTGTTTGGCTTGTTAATGGTGGATCCACCCAGTGCATCTGAAGGGATATGGTGGACGGTGTTCTTCATCTACATCATCTACACACTGCTGCCGGTGCGAATGAGAGCAGCTGTGATCACTGGAGCTGTGCTGTCCACCATTCATATGATTATGGCATGGAGACTCAACCTTGAGGATTACTTCATTACTAAACAGGTATGTGTATGCTTCTGATACAATTAAAATTTAAAGAGGAATATTACACACAAATATGAAAATTAGGCTATTTACTTAACCTCATGTTGTTCAGAACCTTTTGTATGCTGTTTTTTTTTGTTCAGTGAAACACAAAAGTAGAATTTTCTAATGAATCATCAAGTTCCCTACTATGTATGTCAATCTCCAAAAAGGACAAAAAAGACCATAAATGCACCATTTAAGTGCTCCATACGACTTATGCATGATATTTCAAGTATTCTGAAGCCATATGAATGAAAAACAGGCCTAAATGTGTTATTTTAATTATTAGTAATTTAAAAAATAATTATTTATTATTTACTGATTGCTCATCCTCAAAGCTCGCATTTTTCTTCTTTTTAAATAAATAACTGTTTATTTATTTATATTTATTTATTTTCTTTTTACGATTTTGACAGTATGTAAATAAGGCTTCTAAATAGGATGCTGCATTTTTACAGTTTATTCACAACTGAGAATTAAAGGTAAGCTTCACTTGCATATACAATTTTAAAATAGTTTATTGGTGATTTTTTTTAATGTTTTTGTCCTTTTTGAGCTTGTCTGTTTTGGTCTGTGTAAAAATGCATAAAGAATGTTCCACAGAAATAATAACAGCATATGAATTTAAAACAGCATGAGGGTGAGATAATAAAGACAGAATATTTATTGTGGTTGAATTATTCCTTTAATATACAGGAAAATGTCCAGCATGAGAGATTTGTATTTTTTGGTATGCGTGTATTAGCACTAGAACACTTTGAAGAAAAGAATTGCACATTATTTACACCACATGTTGCAACGCCACAGTGGTGGAGAATAAGCTCCAAGTAACTGATCAGTTGAAGGCACAATCTTTCACATCTTCAAATTCTTTGGAGTCACAGAGTTCAATGGATAATTGGTTATTGTTTGAAAGCTTTGATTGTTTCAGTACTTTTAAAGGAATGCCTGGCATGACAGTTTCAGAATGCAGTGTAGATGGATCCTAGTTAGCAAAATTCTATTCCCTTTTCAAACTTTACTTAGTCCTTCACTGCTCTTAATATGATGCATTTAACATGCAATGTTTCCATGCAGGGGCTAAAATGCGTCTATTGTGTCAGCTCCACGTTCGATGTGATCTAGTTCTGAAACTGTTAATACTGGTTCAGTGAGCTTGGGCTTTTGCGTGTTTGCTCCTTAGACAGCTGGGTTGTGGGCACTCAGCAATATTGAAAATGGATTGGGAATGGGATAATGGCTGCTGATTGACTCAGGCCATGGCCCGGAGCATGTACTTGTAGATTCTCGTCATAGACATTTGGGATAGGTTCCAGCCCTGTGGGCAATCAATGCAGGACAAAAGTCCATTGGTTGTGTGGCTGCTTAGTGCCTTATATAAATGCTCTCTCGTAGAGAGCAAGCAAGGTATGCCTCCATGTTTGCTCTGTGATCTTTTGTTCTTAAAGTACATTGATGAGAATAGTCTTGTGTTGAGGATGGTAGGAGCTGTTCAGTATTCTTGTAGTTTACAAATGTAGAGTGACCGGTCAGTTTGATTACAAGAACTGTATAATAAACACTACAGTTTGGGAGTCAGTAAGATTTTCTTTTTTTAATGAATACATTTATTAATCATTACAACTTTTAAACATTAAAACTGACAGTGAATAGTCAGTAAAAATAATTAAAACCGACATTTACAAAATATTTCTATTTCAAATAAATGCTGTTTTTTAAAACGTTCAATTCATCAAAGAATCTTGGAAAAAGTATTGATTTACACAAAAAATATTAAGCAACTGATCTCACCATTGATAATTAGAAATGTTACTTGAGTGCCAAATCATCATATTTGAATTATTTCCAAAAAACAAAGTGCAGTATTTTCAGTATTAATTTAAAGGGTCATGAAACCCCAAACTACTTTTTCTGAGATTTTAGCTGAAGTGTTTGTGTTGCACATCATAGAAGACAATGTTAGCATCCAATAATTTTAACTATTGGAGAAAACTGGTTGATTTTAAGCTTTTTTGCGCTATTTTCTAGGGATGCACCGAAATGAAAATTCTAGGCCGAAGTTGAACAAAATGAAACCGAATACCGAACACTGTTTTTCACATTACCCCCACCCCCCAAGTAGGTTTATTTTGCAATTTTTCCACAATTGCATTAATTAAATTGCCAAAATGTGCTTTTTACTGTTTTGTTCTGCTTTTCAAATAAAAAAATGTATTACAAAACGACAATTAAAAAATATTTACTTAACACTGAACTTTTTTTTTTTACATTTTAGCAGACATTATACCAACAAAGCACGGTTTAACTTAAAGGTCCCATGACATGTTGCTTTTTGGATGCTTTTATATAGGTCTAAGTGGTCCCTAGTAATGTATCTGAAGTCTCTTTCCCGAAATTCAGCCTTGGTGCAGAATTTCAGCCACTACGAGCCAGTCCCACAATGAGCTTTCCTTAGGACGTGCCATTTCTGTGTCTGTAGCTTTAAATGCTAATGAGGAGGAGAAAGGCGGGGCAAGGTGCTTCGCTCGTTTGCAAGCCATGATGTCTCTCGTGGAAAAAAAAATATTGCGCTTGCCTTGCATGGTAGTAGCTCATTTTCTCATGGGCGGGCCAAATTCTCTGGGCGGGCAAAGCAGAGAAAGGGGAGGTAACCTTTCCCCGTATGACGACATAAAGGGAAGCTTCCAGATTGGGCCATCTGAGCTTTCATTTTCTCAAAGGTGAAGCAGGATACCCAGGGCTCGGTTTACACCTATCGCCATTTCTAGCCACTGGGGGACCATAGGCAGGCTAGGGGAACTCATATTAATGTTAAAAAACCTCATAAAGGGAAATTTTCATGCCACGGGACCTTTAAAATTAATAAGTTAGTAAAATAATATTTTTTGGCCATTTTTGAGACTTAAATCAGGCATGTATTTTTTACTGAACAAATAAAGGCAGCCTTGCTGAGCAGAAGAGACTTCTTTTAAAACATTAGAACATATTACAGATCCCAATTTGAACACTATGTGTGAATGTTATAATAAATGTATTAACAGAGCTGTTGTACGGTAATTATTATTATCATTATTATTATTGTCTTTTTTATTTTATTTTACATAACGACAGTAAAATTACAATACTATCATTTATGAATGTCGATGGAGTTGTTGCTTTTTCTCAGCTTTTATTTTGGCAGAAACCCGCAGGAAGATCTCTGTGCTTTTTTTTTTGTTGACAACAGCATGCAGATTTATAAATGATTTATGAATGGCGATGGAGTTGGTGCTTTTTCTCAGCTTTTATTTTGGCAGAAACCCCCAGGAAGATCTCTGTGCTTTTTTTTTTGTTGACAACAGCATGCAGATTTATAAATGATTCTCATTACGAATTTGGGAAGATGTCTGTCGCATGTATCACATTGTCACATGTCTTTAAAAAAATTCACAAAAATGTTACTGAGCAACTGACGAGTAACACAGTTTTAGCGCAGATTTTCCTCGTGCTTTGAACCCTGGCGCCGAGAGCTCATGCAGCGCTGTCAGAATACATGCAGTTTATTTACTAATCGTTTGAGGTAATTTCACGATTTCAGTCATCATACAGTAACCTAACCACCAGCATTAGTCACCTCTTCTCATCGGAGACTTGATGCAGCACTAAGTCTCGCTGTCGGTGCTTCGTGCTTGTAATGATTTCTGCGTTTTTCTCTGATAGTTTTAAATACTTTCACACTGTCGACATGTTTGCTGCATTAGCGTGTGCCTCTATTTTGATCACGTTCGTCATTGTTCGGTTCATATTATTCAGCCTTTTCGCTATTTTCGGCCGAATAATTTTGGTTGCCGAATATTCGGTGCATCCCTACTATTTTCATCTTCCAGGTTTAAAATCTACATCGTGTTGACGTCACAATTTGTGACGCGGCAATGGACTATAGTACATCGATGACGCGTCGGTGTCTATTAAATTATTCATGAGACTGCGTGTTCTTATCCTATGAGAAGCTTCGCTTAATTATTCACAACAGCATGTGTTGATTTGCTATGACAGACGTTTCAGACTGTGAGATTGCGTACATTATCTTAGAGAAACGTTCATGAATCGAAGGAGAGTGTTTGTTTTTGCTTTTTTAATAAGAGTTCGGCATAAACGCGATTCATTCACTTATTGAGTATAACCGTTTTTACAGCTCCATGACACAACCCGTCAAAAGGCTTATATAATCGCAGCAGAATAAGCCTTAAAAAGTTATCAGAGGTGCAACAGCGTTTCATGCGGTCGCGCACCGGACGAGAAGCGCAGCGTCGCGCCACATCTTTAAAATTCGAACACATTATTTTCTATGAGTGTAGGCACACCGGCGGCGCCGTTCGGCGTTTGTCCGTGGCGCGCAGCTACGTCATGTTATATTTGTAAGAATTGTTCTAGACCAGCGGTTCTCAATTCCAGTCCTCGCGTACCCCCGCTCTCTGCATGTTTTGCACGTCTCTCTTTGTTAATACACCTGATTCAGATCATCATCTCGTTAGAAGTGAGCTCCGTGCATGAACTGTGTTCCCATTGACATGGTCCCTACACAGTGTCCATTGCTCCCTACTCCCTGAGCAGGGGAAATCTGTTGAAGTTTACTTCACTTCGGAATATTCATTTACAGATTTGCGCTGCGCGGCTGCCTGCAGCATCTTCACACACAAACAAAGCTCACTAGAGAAGCGTGAAGTGGGACATAATATGCCTCTGTAAATAAATACAATTTAAATTCACGTCTCGCACACTTAAATGCCCTTTGTATGGAACATATACGCTCCCTTCAAACTGGAATCATGGAGGAATATCCGGTAATGTCCACTTCGCAGGGCACTTACAGTCAAATATAACAAACGTATGAAGCAATAAGAGAAACATACAAAATGTACAGAGCGGGGGTACGCGAGGACTGGAATTAAGAAACCGCTGTTCTAGACATGCCAAAAATGTGAGGCTACAGCACA